TGGCTGGCATGTGGTGCTGGGGGATTGAACCACATTCCCTGTGCTTTGCTGAGCTTGTTCTAAGTAGGTGCTTTAGACCACTGAGCCATCTCACCAGCCCGGTTCTCTTTATTTTTTAAAATATACCTCTAATATTACTGGCCTTGAACTATAATTACATTTCTTTCAGTAATAAGGCATAGTTGTTTAAATAAATTAATTTCTAATGATATATATTTAATAATAATGTTGCCTATAATTTCATGGTTCAGTAAAGGAAATTTTCAACGCTATACCAAGTAACTTTTTGTTATTGTTGTTTTCAGGGAAATGAACTATGAAAATATTTCAAGAATACAGAATCATTCAGTCATTAGAAGTTCTAAATTCAAGACAGCCATTTTTCAGCAGAATGGAAAAAAGATGGTAAAAATTATAAAATGTAGATGGAGGCTCTTCTGAGAGCCTTTGTTTCCTTAGTTCAAATGTTCATGTTATTTAATAGTGTATAGGAGTTTTTGTATTGATTTGGAATAGTTAGACTGTTGAAGTTGCTAGGACATATTTTATTTACTTAGTATTTCTCATGGCAGTTGATATGTTTCCGACTTGGGTATATGAGAAGAATTTTAGACATATCCTGACAGTGGTCTCTGCTGTGACTGAAAGCTGTCTGAATTTGAGGATTTGTGGGAAGCACTAAAGTGTTCAAAAAGAACAGAGATATGTAATAATAAAAATGGTAAGAGTAATTTAGGTTAAGAAGAAGGTCTTGAGGTAGGACAAAGAAGAGAGGTATAACTTTATAAAGGAATCTTCAAGAAAACATTTTATGTGGCAGCCTGTAAGAGAGACATTTGTCAGACTGAGCTTGGAGGACTAGTCCACAGACTAAAACTTGAAGCAGAGAATGGTATGGAAAAAAGAGATAGATGTAATGGTAGCAGACCTTATTGATGAAAAATAAAATGATTCTACATGTTGTAAAAATATTTGCCCTTATCTTAGTAATAGTAAATACTTTTGTCGTCAGTATCATTCAGTTTATACGAAGATTGGGCCATGAGGTCAGATAGACCTGAGTTTAACCTCCAGCTTTGCAGTTTACTAGCTGGGTTACATCTCCCTACATTTCTTTTATCTATAAAGGATAATAATATTTCAGGGTTAGGATTAAACTAGATAAATATCAGAAACCTTGCTTAGCACAATGCTTGGCACTCAACTGAGTATTCAATAAATGTTGACAATTCAAATGCTAAGAATTTAAAAACAATGATCAACATTTAGTCAACAGTTAGTTGAGTGTTGAACTTTATCCCACAGGTACAATATACTTTTACAGATTACCTTTGAAAATGATTGCAGTATCCACAATGCATAAAGCCAGGCAAATTCTTTAATCTTTGAAATAAAAACTAGCCAGTGTTTTTTTATCTTGTACAATTTACAGTTGAAGCCAAGCTCATAATCTTGTATCTACACTTTCTCCGTACTGAGTATGATTGCATCTGAGATACAGACATACGGATATTAATGTTGGAAGAATGTCTTCGCAATCCTTGTAGCTATAGCTTAAGAAAGTGCCTAGAGGGCCAGCCAGATAGCTCAGCAGACTGAAGCACCGGCTTAGGCAGGCACTGGGACTGGGGTTCGATCCCCAGCATGCTGTGCCAGCCCTGCCCCTGGGACACACTGAGATGGCAACTGAGGCTGGGCAACTTGAGACTAGGTGTAGTGGTGCCACCTGTAATCCCAGCGGTTGGGAGGCTGAAAACAGGAGAATCACTACGAGTCTGATCTGGGTAGTGAGACCCTGTACTAAATACATTAAAAAAAAAAAAAAAAGGTGCCTAGAAATAGCACACAGACAAAAAGTGAGACATGTTAGCTCCATTTGCCTAAAGATTCCTTATGAACCAAGCTTTGATACTTTTTTTTTTTTCTTTTTTTTTTTTTTTTTTGGCGGAACCGGGGATTGAACTCAGGCCCTTACGCTTGCCAGGCAAGCGCTTACTCTACTGATCCATCTCCCAGGCCCACAGCCTTGATGCTTTTCAAAATTAATCAGTCGTAACAGACTATGAAGATTGACACTTGATGAAAGAGACCTAGCTGCTACATATTTTTTCCTGATCTAGAAAGTAAAAAAAAAAAATCTGTTTTATTTCTTTTTAAGGAACTTATTTCCTTGGATTCTGACACCTCAAGAGAAAACAATGGATTTCTGAATTGTAAAGCCAGGAGAAAACAAAGTAGGCTTTGTTGCACTTTGTGATTGCCTACCTCTTCTACTTGCTTGTCACTCTCTTGCTTCCTGCTGTACCTCTTTTCAGATTTCATAACAAACCTTCATTTGTCACAAAAGTTAAAATTTGTTCAGATCAGAGAGGCAAATGATGATTTGTGAGCCAAATCTGGACTACTGCCTGCTAAGTATGACCCAGGAATGAATGATTTTTAAATCAGGGGAATAATATTTCATGATACTTGAAAATTAAATGAAATTAACAATCTCAGTGTTTATAAATAAAGCTTTATTGAAAAACAGCCAGTAATTTATTTGCATATTGTTTCTACATTTACACTATATCAGCTGAGCAGAATACTTACAGAGAAGACTACGTGGTAGCATAGCCTGAAATGTTTGCTCTCTGGCCCTTTATAGAAGAAGTTGGCTGACCTTTTGGCCTGACACATGGTGCACATCTCTGATTATATGTGATCCACAGATATTGTTTATGGCTTTGTAGGTGCTTTCCAAAGCAGCTTTGTCTTATTTTGAACTCTTTTTAAAAATAAAGACAGATCGCTCTTTTGCAGTAGTCCAGATAGCACCACTAAGAGGATACTTGTAAGTAGTGAAGAGTTGAAGTATTCGTAGCCTGAACACGTGTCTTTCAGCTGGCAGTGCCCTGCCATACTGAATGGTACAAATGGGGAAAGCCTAGCTTGTGATGCTTCAGCGGCTCCCTCAGCACACAGACATTGCTCGGAGCTGTCCCTTTTTTGAGGCCCTAACTGGTGCTGCTCCTTTTCCTTTTGAGCCTCCTTAAATTTGCAACACTAGCTCTACAACTCATATTAAGTGATAGAGACTGGGAGAGGCATGGCAGCTTGTTGGTAGCAAGTTGTATGAAGAAAAGATATCTTTTGTATTTTACCATTTAATCTATGTAGGATGTAATAAGTTACTTTTGGTTCTTTTGCATTTTACCATTTAATCCATGTAGGATGTAATAAGTTACTTTTGGTTCTTTTGCCATTTTCATAGACAGCTGTAATGCATAAAACAGTTTATTATCCTTATTATATAACTAGCATGGCTTACAGGAAACCCTTGACTAAAATACAAGTAGTGTAGAAATAGCCACAACAGTGCAAGTAAATCAAGAACGTAAAGAATTTCTTTTTTCCTAGTTTTTAAACTGTTGACACCTAATAGTTTAGTTGACACATAATAAATTTATGGGGTAGAGTATGACATTTTGTAATGGTCAGATCAGGGTAATTGGTATATTTAAGTTGAGACACTTACCATTTCCTTATGTTGACAGCACTTAAAATCCTCTCTGCTAGCTATTTAAAAATATTACAACTAATTTTTGCTAGCTGTATTGTATATAGAACATAGAATATCAGGACATTCGAAGTCACTCTAATGTATATAGAACATTAGAAGTTATTCCTTCTGCCCAGTTGCACCCATGCACTTGTTAACTATATCGTCTTTCTACCTGCTTTCCCCTATGCCCTTCCCACTCACTGTCTTGTAATCATATTCTGTTCTAGCTGCTGTGAGATTACTTTTTTAGCTAAAATACAATTTGTGCCCCTGTATTAGGTGACATAAGTAACTTTTATCATAATGCTTTTCTTGACCATCTGACATTCAATGGTCAAGAAAAGTAATTTAAGCATTTTAGCTACTTTTGAAGTATTATTATTTATTAAAGTATATTTATTAAATGATTATCTAGAAAAACACTAAACATAAATACGTACAAGCCCCTCACAGCACAGCTGTTGTTACAGAGACCTGTGGAGAGATTTGTAGACTAAATGGTCTTCTCAGGCCTTTCTTGGGCATTACAGATGCTTAAATTGCCACCTAAATCCCTGCTCTGTTTAGAATATAATTAGATGAAGATTTCAGAATTGAAGGAAGTCAGCTTATTAAAATCAGAGATTAAATATAGTACTGGAGAACAAGCCTGAAGAGTCATTTAAAAAAAAAATACTGCTACATAGTGTTATACATAGAGAGAGAGTATGTTATATCCAGTTTGGCCTCATTTCCCCTGTTCTTGTATTAGAAGGCAAACCTGTTTAATTCTCAGAGACTCAATTTTTTTCTTTGTAAAAGTAAAGAAGTAAATCTAACCTTAACAAATTGTAAAGATTAGTGATAATTAAAGCACTTAGTATTAATCTCAGCATCTAATTAGTATTAATCTCAGCACTGTTGTTCAGTCATATGTATTTCCTGACAATTCCTTCCTGAAAATGTCTATCAGAGGAATCAAGTTCAAACCAAGTTGGAGATTCTGAAGACAATCAGCTGCATGAATCAGATGTGATAGATATAACTAAATGTAGAGAAGAAACTCCACCAGGAGACAGATGTCACCAAGCAAGCACATTTGACAGTGAAAATATTGAGGTTCAAATAAAAATGCCCCAAGAAGAAAAATCACCAGCACATCAAAAGCAGCAGGCCTTTGATGATAAGTTGCTAAGTGAAACCAAGAATACTTCCTCAACTTCTCCAGTAAAGTCCAGTAACGAGATTATGTTTTTGTTGGATGCCACAAAAGAAGGAAACGTGGGCCGCTTCCTTAATGTGAGTATCAGTGCTGAGATTGGTATTTCTCAACAGCTTTTCCTATGCTGCTTTTAAAATGTCATGAGGAAAATATGATTAATAGATGCAAAAGCCAGAACCTAGGTTAGGGTTTCAGTCTTCAAGTTGTGTCTCTGAAATGTTTAACTGCTGATGCCTCATTTTCTGCCTCTATAATGTAGGAATAACAACTGTTTAGGATGTTGTAAGGAACAAATTAACATAAAGAGCTTAAAATTGACTAGGAAACATTTGCTTTAAAAAAACTTCTAAGATGAGTCTCAGCTTGGCAGTACACACCTATAATCCCAGTGCTGGGGAGGCCGAAAACAGGAGGATCATTATGAGTACAAGCTGCATAGTGAGACCCTGTGCCAAATACATGTAATAATAAAAAAAAAAGAAAAAGAAAAAAAATGACTTCATTAAGATGAGTCTGTGACAGGAATATTTTGAAATGGCAGCTAGTAGGGAACTGAAGAGTGCTGAAATGTTGGAATGATGGTAATATGAGGAAAGAGTATCATCACTATAAATAAATAATGGCTATATTTATCAAAAAAATCAGTTGTTTATATGCCTCCCCTCCAGAGGTCCTGTTTTATCCTAGGATGTGAAAATTGAAGCGTGCAAGTGTGTGTGTGTGTGTGTGTGTGTGTGTGTGTGTGTGTTTTATTTTGTAGTACTAGGTATTGAACCCAGAGCCTTCGTACTGAGCTGTATCTATAGCCCCTTTTTGAGACAGGATCTCACCAATTTTTCCAGGCTGGGCTCAAAGTTGTGATCCTTCTGCCTCAGTCTCCCAGAGTGCTAGAATTATAGGCACACATCAATATGGTATGTGCTCATATTTTTTTGTATCTGGAATGGTAGTACATGTGTTTGGTGCCAGCACCTGTGAGGCTGAGACAGGTGGATCACTGTGAGTTCAAGGCCAGCTTGGGCTACATAGTGAATGCAAAACCAGCTTAAACTACATAGAGGGACCTTGTCCCCCAAAAAAACCAAAACAGTAAATAGACATCTTCTTGAAAGCTTTTTTTAAAAAAGTTAATTTAAAAGCCCTACCCTGAGAAGTACTATGCCCACATCCATCCTGTCCCCACTCTATTTATACAACTTTTCTTGTGTATTCTTGTAGTATTTCGGCAAAGTAAGTTTATATGTGTGTTTATCCCTTTTTACATAAAAATAGCATATTACACTCACTGTCATAATTTATGTTCTAAATTAACAACATATCATTGTTTGTGTATTTTATTTTATAATTTTGCAGAATTCCACTATGTAAATATACTGGTTATTTAAGCAATCCTCTGCAGGCATAAATTGGGTTATATAAAATCTTTTCATGGGGCTGGGGAGATGGCTCAGTGGAATAAGTGCTTCCCTGGCAAGTGCAAGGGCCTGAGTTCAATCCCCAGTTCAACCAAAAAAAAAAAAAAAAAAAAAAACAAACTACTTTTCCTGTTAAAACCAATGCTTCATGAATAAATTATAGATATATATACACAGGTGAAGCTATAGAATGCATTCCTAAGTGTAGGGTTGGTGAATCAAAAAATAAATGCAAGACTGGACATGGTGGAATAAACCTGTAATCCCAGTGCTTGGGAGGCTGAAAACTGGAGGATCACTACGAGTCTGATCTGTGTAGTGAGAAATTGTAGACCCTGAACATAAAAAATACATAAAAAATAAATTTAAAAAAATAAATGCATCTATGTTAATGATAAATATTAACAAATTATCTCCAGTATTTGGTGCCATTTTGTAATTCTGCAGCAATATATCAAATTATCAGAACAGCTTTTCTGAGTTGGGGGTATTGGTGAATGCCCATAATCCCAACATTTGGGAGGCTGAGGCAAGAGGACAGCTAAGAGTTTAAAGTCAGCCTGGACTACAAAGTAAGCTCAAGGCCAGCCTGAATTACATAGCAAGACCCTGTCATATCAAAAACAAAAAGCAAATAAATAAAACTAGAACAAAGCTTTTCTGAATAGGTTCCTGCTATATTAACAGAACTGTTTTTAGCACAAAAAGAAAACAAGCAGTGAGATGTGTGCACAACAGAATGATACTCTAATGCTTAAAGTGGTATCAAATTTTGCTAACCTCTGTGTTTAATTTTTTTTTTTTTTTGCAGCATAGTTGTTGTCCAAATCTCCTTGTACAGAATGTTTTTATAGAAACACATGACAGGAACTTCCCATTGGTGGCATTCTTTACCAACAGGTTTGAATAATTTTGCTTATGTGGGTTGATGACTTTAAAAATAATAATGATTGGGGTTATATAGCTCATTATGAAAGTCCTGTGTTCGAACCCTGGTACTGGGAAAAATGAAAATACAGGAGGAGAGGGTGTGTAGTATAGTTCCAAATATCTGATATCCTTGATAGAATACAGTATTCAGTTAGTATAAACTGTTCCTAGCCCTCCTGTAATCCCAGCTCTCAGGAAGCAAAGGCAGAAAGTTTGCTGTGAGTTTGGGGCCAGACTGGGCTACAAAGTGAGTTCAGGTATAGCCTGAACTGCATAGTGAAACCCTGTCTCAAAAAGACAAAAGTAAAATGAGTAAATAAAATTTTGAACTCAGTTCATTCTTACTCTTATTTAGAATTTATTTTCTAAAAGAGCTGAAGATACCAAACCTTACCCAGTTCAGTTCAGGAAATCACAAAAGAATATTGTATTTTCCAGTCAGGACCATCCCCCATCTGCTTCCACATACAAGATTCACATTTGCACAACACATGTCCTTTTGATAGTAACAGAATCTTTCCTGCTTAGGACTTAGGTAGATTTGGAATAAAACTCAAATGATTATTCTTAATCCTAACTGGTATATGTCATGGAGAGAGAACAAATCATATTTTTAGGATGGTTAAAGATGGTGACATGAAGGGCCGGCAAGATAACTCAGTGGACCGAGCACTTGCTTAGGCAAGCACAGGGACTGGGGTTCTATCCCCAGCACCACATGCCACACTGACCCCATCCCCAGGTGCACTGGACTAGCCACTGAGTTGGGGCATGGTAGTGAATGCCTGTAATCCCAGCACTGGGGAGCCTGAGACAGGAGGATCAGTATGAGTCAGAGCTGCATAATGAGACCCTGTACCACATATATTAAAAAAAGAAAAGATGGTGACATGAAATTAGCATATTCAAGTTTGATTCACATGTAGCTATTTAATGTATGATTCTTTTTCATTTCTGTTTTCTAGGTATGTGAAAGCAAGAACAGAACTAACGTGGGATTATGATTATAAAGTTGGGACTGTGCCTAACAAGGAAATCCTCTGCCAATGTGGGGCTAATAAGTGTAGAAAAAAAATATTATAACAGTGCTCCTAATGCCTGTGTTGAAGTTAGCATTTTAGGCTAATATCAGAGCTGTACAAAGGACCCTCAGTCATGAGGTGAATTTAGGTTGGTGTCCACCAAGGTAATTCCTCTGTTCACCCTGTTCAAGGGTTTCATATTTTGCAATTTTTTTCTGTGGTATAGAAATGCCAAGAAAAGTATATGAATGTTTTCCAACACATCAGGTATCTTGTTTTTACTGCTGTTCTACTTTATATAAGGAGAATATGTGTACATTTTATGTGAAATACTGTATTTCACTATACAATTAATAACTTATTTGTAAATTATGTATTTAGAAAACTGAAGGTTACAATTATTCAGCTGTTTTTAATGTTCCTTCAGCTATATGTTGCATTTTGTATTGAAGAAACTGCAAAAGAAAATTCATCTCAAAAAGTGAGATAGAAATTTGCTCCAGGACTTCTTTGCCCCACTCAAATAGTTGATGGGACATTGTTTCATGAAGATATAACTTCTCCAACAAATGTTAAAATACTTAGGAGATAGCCAAATATGGTGTCGTATGCCTACACTACAATCCCCAGCACTTGGGAGGCTGAGGCAGAAGGATTACAGCGAGTTTGAGGCCAGCCAGGGCTACATAAGCCTGTGCTACATAGCGAGACTGTTTCAGGAAAAAAAAAAAAAAAAAAAAAAAGATTGGGGAGATTGTTTGCTTAGCACACATGAAGCCTTGGTTTTGATCCCCAGCACCACACACACACACACACACACAACCAACTTTGAGAGTTATGCACAAAGAAAATTACTTTGTAGGATTATTTCTGTTACAGTGTTCTATTTTATCCCTTTTACTGAGTGTCTGGTAAGAGCTTTCAATGTCCTTCAATATAGGAAAATTTTCTTGAATTATTTCTATAAGGATTTCTCATCAAGAGAAGACTTGGGCTGGAGAAATAGCTCGGCAGTCTAAGCACCTTCCTGGCAAGTGTAAGCGCTCAGGTTTGATCCCCAGTACCGCATGCTGTGCACAGCTATAATCCCTGGGCTGAGGAGGCTGAGACTGGAGGATCACTATGAGTCTGAGCTGCGTAGCAAGACCCTGTACCAAAGATTAATAAAGATTCTGGAATTCTTGTTACCTAAATGTTATTCCTGCAGGACTGTCTTCTCACTTCTTTTTAATTTCCAGATGTCTTCCTCTTCTTTCTGGAAAGTTTCTTCCACTTAACCTTTAAATTCATCTATTGCATTTTATTTTCCTGGTCTTATTTTGATATGAAGTGCTTTTCTTTGAATATTTTCTTTAATAGCATTCTATTTGGGGCCCATGGTTATAGTATTTTATCTCTGAAGATAGTATTTGTGTGTGTATATAAATTAGTAATAGCTTGGATCAAGAAAGCTTTTTGAGCCTGGGCGTGGTGGCGCATGCCTGTAATATTGGCACTTGGGAGGCTGAAAACGGGAGGATCACATGAGTCTGATCCGTGTAGTGAGACCCTACACTAAATACAGAAGAAAAAAAAAATATTGGTAAACCTTTCAGTTCTGAAACAAAAGTGTGTTACAGAATTTTGCTTCCATTCTGCCTCTGGTGACAAACAGCCATGGTCATCTTCCCCAAATTGTAGAATAAATCAAGTTTGTAAACCAAGATAGCACTGTCTTACCTGCATTCACAGTTATATCTCTCCTTCTATATTCACTGTTCTAGTTTTATTTTACTTGTGTGTTTGCTTTGGTCTTTTTTATTATTTTTTGGGGGGTCTTTATTTTTCATGTTACAGATTTTCCTCAAAATTACTTGCTTGTCATTTATATTTCAGAGCGGGACCAAGGGCCCCTGGGCTGCTCTACCATGACCTACCTGCACTGTTTTGTTGAGAAATTCCCTGGTGTTAGTGTGTTCTGGACTTTATTTTTGACATGGAAAAGGATACTCTCCCCTCCTGTGACTTGGAGGAATACTAGGGTCTGCTTATTTCTATTCTTGTAACCTCAAGTCTAATCCATTTTAAAACTGGTGAAAACTATGTCCATTTTAGTATAGTTCCTGTTTTCTGGTACCTAATTTGCTTTTCTGCCCTTTAAACTCACCTCGAAGTATTAGATTAGTTCCTCAACAAATCAACTATTATGTACTGCTTTTACAGAACTTTTCCCTTCACCCTTTTCCCCTCCTTTCCTTCCTTGCTTCCTTTTTTCTTTCTGTTCTTTTCCTAAGACAGTTTTACCAAATGCCCAGGCAAAACTCAGATTTAGGATTCTCCTGCCTCACTCTCTAAATACTGGAATTACAGCGTTCCCCCCGATACAATTCAGTGATTGTATTTATATTGTCCAAACGTTCATTTGTTGCATGCACCAAGTACCTCGTCTTGTATGGTGCTCTGTACTTCATGGGTGCTAAATAAACCCTTGCGACTGTAACTGGATTTGGAGTCGATTACTCTACGTCCGTTTGGGAGCCAAACGTTAGCATATGGCCTAAACTCCGTGTGTTAACTAGGAATAAACCGCGGGAGCCGTGGCCTCCTCAGCGCAGGGGGCGTGCGGGTGGCGGGGGCGCCGCGAGCCCACCGACCCGGACCTGCGGGGGAGGACGGAGGGCGGGGATTTGAGGAAGGAAAGCGAAACGGCGGCGCCGGCATTTCCGGGAGCGCCACTCTGCACCGCCCGGCCTCCGCCGCTGGTAGCCATGGCCCAGCCGTCCCCGTCCTCGTCGCCGGTGCCACCCGAGCCAGCGCAAGACCCCGGCGACCCCGCGGCCCACCCCGTGCGGGCGCCGCTCCCCCTCCCCACGGGTGAGTACGCAGCCGCCCCTGCCTGGAGGAGCCGCGGTTTCTGGGCTGAGCCGCCGCGCCGGATGCAGAACAGCCCACGCCGCTCCGCCCGCCCACCGGGTGGGGCTGCGGCCCAGACGCCGGCTTTCGAGGGCCAGTCTGTGCGTGCTGGCGAACTTGTAGGGCGTTCAGTGGAACAAATCGCCAGCGGCGGCACACGTGCCAAAGGTTCGACACCCTGTAGGCCCTGCGAGCCTTCCGACCCGCTTCATCACTGCGTCTGCGCGTCCTACTGTGTCCCAGGCTCCGCCCTAGCTCTGGGGGTACAAAGGCGAGCGAGCCCCTACCCTGGCGAATCCAGTAGCAGCATTTGTGGAAAGTGGTCAGAGCTCTAGCGTGCTGCCTGCTGTACTGGGAACGCTTGTCGGAGGAGAGGGCTCTTCAGCTTCATTTTAATGGGCAAGAGTCAGCCAGCTATAGGTGGAAAGGCTGTTCCTTACAGACGGTGATACAAATAATTATGGGCAACCGCCCACAACACAAACGTGGGGACCACAGACCAACCAAGTGACACGTTTAGTAGCTGAAAAAGCGCGGGGTGGAGATGAGGTCCTCTTCACTCAAATCCAGGCAGGTATAACCAACTTCTGCCATGTCTGAAATGATCCCAAACTGAGTCTATTCCAAAGAACTCTCGTTTTCCCCGCTCCGCCCCGGTTCTGCAAACCTGCTCAGCCACTACCTCTCCCCTTCCATTCATCCAGTTATCAGGCCAAAAAGCCTTAGCAGTGCCCTGAGCACTTTCCTCTCAGCGCTCCACGTAGCACATCATTTAAGCTGCCAGTTTGGCTTTAGTGTGTTGCGCTCACCCCCTCCATTACTATCATCCAGTCCTGGATCATTTTTCTCCTGGCCTCTACTATAGCTTTTCATAGAGGCAGCCAGATGGGCCTTTAGGACGTGAAAGGCAAACGGGATTACTCTCTGACCTCCCCAGTTCTCTCCCATTTCCCTCAGAGTGTATGTTAGTGGTGAGCATAGCTGCTTTCCATTAACCTCAGAATACACAGCCTGGCTAATGTTCACTCATGTCCTTACCTGATTTGACTGCCTATCTGGATGACTTTGCCACCTCCTGCTGTTTTTGAGTCCTCAGCAACTAAACCTCCTCAGAAACTATTTGCTAGTTCCTACTGTGACTCATCCATCTACAGAGTTACTTGCTTTTCCAGTCAAGAAGAATGAGTTAAGAGAGCCAGGATCTTTTTTGTTTTATTGAGACAGGGTCTCACTATGTAGCCCAGGCTCGCCTTGAACTAGCAGTGACCCTCTTGCCTCAGCCTCCTGAGTGCTGGCCCTGTGAGTGCTGGGATTATAGTCATGCACCACCATGCCCAGCAAGAGCAGGATCTTTTAAGATACTGCAGTGCATGGTACTTTAGTTAAAAAAAAAAAAAAAAACCAAAACAATTAGGGAGCACCTTTTTGTCCTATGTCCAGTTTCTACACATAGGTCACATTAGTGTGATCACCACTTCTGGATTCCCAGATACTGCGATCCTAGTAGTCCAAGTACTTGGGAGCGCAGACTGAAAATGTCCAGTTGTTAGGACAGTAAGTATAACTGAATTTCAGATTGCATGATCGAAGAAGACAAGAGCTGGCACTAGTAAATTAACTGCCTGATTTTTTTTTTTTAAGCCTCTGAAGGTTTTGGTAGGTTTTGAGGGAGGACATTTTGGGGGAATTTTAGTGCTGGGAATTGAACTCAAGATGTAAATTTTACATCTGATGAGGTGATTAGAATACTGGGATTTCCCCTCCCCTCAATTTTATCCTAGGACTTTATGTTATTAAATACTAAAATATATTATTAAGCAATAAATTTTTTTTTTAGTTTTTGTTTTAAGACACAGTCTTGCTATGTATTCCAGGCTGGCCTTGAACTCTTGGTGATCCTCCTGCCTCTCAAGCTTCTGAAAGCTGGGATTATAGGTGTGTGCCCTTGTACCCAGCTGTCAAAAAATTTTTATGTGTGATATTGATAGAGGAAGATTAATGGAAGAAGTACAGGAACAGGGGCCAGGGAGATGGCTCAGTAGAATAAGTGCTTGCCTGGCAAGTGCAAAGTCCTGAGTTCATTCCCTGGTTCTGCCAAAAAAAAAAAAAAAAGAAGAAGAAGTAGTACAGGAACAAAAGATTTTATATAATTACATGTTAATATTTCATTGTAAAAAATAAAAATTGGAGAGGAGAAGAAAACAGTTAAATGTTTCTAAGGACATCCTCTTACCCAATAGTAGGAATGATAACAACTGTAATAATTTCATCAAATAAATCATTGAAACATTTTTATACCAAAGGATGTTATAAACAAAGTTAGAAGACCATATATTTGACTAACAAGATATTAATGTCCTAAACATATGACAAGTAGAAATTCAATTTAAAAATTAGGTAAGGACATGGATGCCAGAAAAGAAATGCTACCTCTTCATGCATTAAATTCAGAAGGGCAGCTTTGATCCACTTTGGTTTGTTTTCTTTCCTTTTGATTCTTAGCTATGCCTTTATGTTTTTAAGTGAGGCAGGAGATATCCTATCATGTCTTCTTCTGCTTCTTGTTTTCTTCACTGCCTATGACTATTATTCTTCCAAATAATCATTTTCCTCAAATTCTTTAAAATACTCTTCCTGGAATTTTGATTAAAATCACATTAAGCCTAAAACTTATTGGGTGGATGAGAGGAGAATTGACATTACTGCAATACCCAACTTTTCATTTTCAGGATTATAAAATGTCTCTCCATCAGTCAAAAAGGAACATCCTAAAAAAAAAAAAAAATTAAATTAAAAACCATGCAAAATTGAGAATCTTCAGTTATCTTTGTCATCCTGTTCTTCCCTGCTCCAGAAAGTCCTTAGTGGCTTCCTCTCTCCTGTTCGGATTCCTGCCCTTTTCCCACAGGGTTGCTTCTGCCTGCTGCATCCCTCCTTCTGTCCCCTCCAAATTGTGGCAGCTCAAAGTCCACACCCTGACAGCTCCACTGCCTATAGAGAGTGCTCCCTCCTCCGCCTCCATAGTCTCTATAGCATTTCCCACTCACTTTGCAATTGTATTACTTCATAGGATTTTTTTTTATTATTTTATTTCCTTACTTGCTACTTTGTCTGCTTGTTTGTTTTGTAAGTTTCTTACAGACTTCTCTGTTTCACATTTAATAGTAGCTTCTGTGCTGTGCAGTGCAGTAGCCAGTAACCCTATAGAGGTTTTGAGCACTTAAAATGTGGCTCTTGGTCCAGTTGAGAAGACATCTTATTTTTGAGGCAGGGTCTTACTAAATTGACCCTGCATTTGCAGTCCTGCTACCTTAGTCTCCTAAGACTTACTGTCTGACGACTGGACATTTTCAGCCTCCCAAGTAGTTAGGATTTACAGGCATGTGCCACCATGCCCAGCTATAATGCACTTAAAAAAAAAAAATCATGTTTTTAGTTCATGTGGACAGTATATGTTTACATTCCTTGTGGAGAGTTGGTATGTGTACATCATACGTCTCAATTCCTTTTTAATATTCTTTCCTTCCTTTCCCTCCTTGGGTCTGTCTGTCTCTTGATCTGTTCGCCAGGGGTGGGGGTGGTTATTATTGTTTTTTTCTTTTCTTGTTTTTTTTTGTTTTCTTTTGTTTGCAGAACTGGGGATTGAACTCAGGCCCTTGCACTTGCCAGGGAAGTGCTTATTCTACTGAGTCATCTCCCCGGCCTGTTACTGTTTTTGACATGTTTATAGTACAGAATGTTTACACTGCTGGTGTGGAGTTCGTACATGTACATTCCAATTCCTTTTTTCATCCTGTCCCTTCCCCCATCCTCCTTCCCTGATGCACATAATGAAGTATTTCCTGAATACCTCATTGTTTTCTTACTGATGTATAATGACAAAGAGCCTGCATTGAGCAAGGTAATCTTTTTTGAGAGCCTTACTTGTATCTATATTCCTGGTTATTTTTATCCTTCCCCCATTAGTTTTCCAAGATTTTCCTCATTTTTAAATGAATTGTTTCTTCTTTTATTAATAAACCCATTTTAAAATAAGTAAGTTAGAGCCAGGCATGGTGACACATGTAATCTCAGCACTTGGGAGGCTGAGGCAGGAAGATTTCAATGAGTTTGAGGCCAGCCTCAGCTCCATGGTGAGTTCAAGGCCAGTTGGAACTATTATAGCAAGACCCTGTTTAAAAAATAATAATAATAATAAAATGTTAGTTTGCAACATGGATCTCCGTGTGTGTGTGTGTGTGTGTGTGTGTGTGTGTGTGTTTCTAGGTGTTTTGACTCTCATAAGGAAAAGTGCCCTGTCTTCTACTTTAAGATCAGAGGAGTAGCCAGGTGTGGTGGCACATGCCTGTGTCCCAGCACTAGAGTTTGAGGCCAGCCTGAGCTGTGTACCAAAAAGAGAGAGAGATTAGAGGAGTATCAAGACCATAAATTCTCTTTTTGCCATTTCTCACCATTTGTCACACTCTTAGGTGTCTTTCAGGTTGCAGAAAGGCTGGAAAAAAGGATATGTGCTCTGTGCCGCAAAGGTACTGACTACAGTGTGCTATACTTTGCACGGTCAGAGAACATAGCTGCTCATGAAAACTGTTTGGTAAGTACATGAGCATGTGAAACTACATAAGTGTTTTGAGGGTCAGGCATCCCAGAAGAGATGAATGGCACTCTGGATGCAGGGAGCAAGGAGTTGGCTGTGGTTTAGGCTTTTAAGTGGAGAGGGATAGTTTTCTACTTCACATTGTCTCAAATATTACTACTGTGATTACTTTTATTTATAACTGATCAAACACAATAACATAAATTATGGTGAAGAAACTTCTTTAAAGATATTTTGATTATTTCTGATATAATAGAAACCTACCTACCTTATACCCAGATAGTCTGTCACACTTTACAGATTCTTTAAATGTATCCATGTGGATAAACATTGTTCTACAGCTTTCATATTAAATATAGTGTCCAGTTTCATGACTGCAACACTATTCAGCTGTCTCCTGTGAATAGGCATTTAAGTTTCACCCGTCTAAGACTAGCGAGTTACCAAAACACTGTCTGAGTCTCCTTATACATGCAAAAATTTGGTATAAAGTATCTGAGACAGAGACAGGGCAGTTTGTACTTCACTAAGTTCTTCAGATTGTTCTCCAATTTGTACTAAGTTTGGCTTATACTCTGTTTCAGAGTATAGAAAAACCTTCCGTTCACAAGCATAATTTGTTCTGAAAACATGCTTGTCAATCCAGAGCATTCCTATGTGAAAATGGATTTCCCTACAAGAGATAATGGAAACTCACATGATGCACTTTACAGCCCAAAAATATTCATATAAAAATGATTACAGTACTGTAGTATAATGCAAAACAATAAAGAAAATAATGAACCTGCACCTACTTTGCAAACCGTTGTGCCTTGTGTAAGGGAGATGAGAGAGGAAGACAACTTTCGCTATTACTGATGGAAGCATTCCTGTTGTCTCACTGGAATCTGTTTCTTTCCATGCAACTTTAAGAAGGAACCTATCCAGTGATGTTTGTTTTTGCCTACTTTTGAAGATTTCATGGAAATATAACATTGCATTGTTAAGCAGATGCATCACCCACACCGCTGCAGCCTTATTCGACTGATACTTTCCTACAAAATTCTGCAGTTTCCCACATTTTACACATATTCCTAATTGCATTTGAAGTGAGGGATTCCACCACCTTTTTTTCCTGTGCATACAAGAGCTTCTCCATAACCTCTTGCTGTTGGGAGGTGATCACCCACAATCCTGGAGAAAGGGAGAATGTGGAGGGAGAAAGACAAGAACCGTCGGCTCAGTGTGATATTTGGCATCATATACTACTCATACTGCAAGACACTGCTCGTTTATCAAGTTAAAATTAATGAGTGGTATTTGCTCATCTTGTAGAACACTCACAAGAGAAGTTACTAAAAATCCAAAGTTTTACTGTATTTTTCTCTTCATCGTTGCCAATACTTAATGTTCAGAAATTTTAATTTTTTCCTGTCCATTTTATATAAAGTAGTATTTCATTTTTATTTGTGCTTCTCTGATTACTAGGAGTTGTATTGTAGATGGATGCCTGTGCTTGTGCACTATTCTAGCTCCTGCTTCTGTGAATGTGTGTTTATAGTCTGTGCTTCATCTTTGTCTTTTTCTTTTAAAACACATATAAGTATTTGTGTAAAAATAGAAACTCATGCTCTTTCTGGTATTTTCTATACGAAGCTCATAATATAATTAAATTCATCATTATTTTCCTTTTAATATTTGTGTTCTTTTTCCACTAAGAAGTTCTTTTGTAGGGCCAGTGAGATAGCTCAGCAGTCTAAAGTGCCTGCTTAGGCAAGCTTAGGCATGCACAGGGGACTGTAGTTCGATTCCCAGTACCACATGCCGTGACAGCCCTGCCCTCAGGGTGGGCTGAATCAGCCAGAAAAAAAAAAAAAAGAAACAAGTTCTTTTCTGGCTAGGTATGGTGACATCTACCTGTAATCCCAGAACTCAGGAGAGACTATAGCAGGACAATTAAAAATCAAGGTATCTGGGCTACATAGCAAGTATATCTCCAAAAAGCAAGTTTTTTCAATAATAAGAGTCTTATATATTTTCCATAAATTTCAAAATTTTGCTTTTCTCAATTTCTACTGGAGTTTTACTACTGTATAAAGTAAAAATCTGACTTTATTTTTTTGTTTTAGGGAAGGGTCTAAAGGGTGTTCAGGGTCTCACTACTAGATTGGACTCCTAGTGATCCACCTGTTCACAGCCTCCCAAGAGCTGAGATTACAGGCGTGTGATACCATGCCCAGTCTCAATTGCCCTCTCAGCACACCCTGGGGATGAGGCCAGCACGGCAGGCCCGGAACCCCTGCCCCTGCGCCTGCTTGCGCACTTTCATCCACTGAGTTATTTGGCCAGCCCTAAAATCTGACTTTATTGTATTTTGTATTTTTACATACAATTAACTTTTTCTACCATGGTTTTGTTTTTGCATTTTTTTATTAGTTTGCTTACAGTATATTTATATTCCTTGTGGAGAGTTGGTACATGCATATAACACATCCTTTTGGCTTTTTTTTTAATCCCCTTTTCTTTCCTTCTCCCTACGTCTCCTGAAGCCAACCTTTGTGTGTGTGTGTGTGTGCCTGTGTGCACATTTATGTTTGCAGTACATTCTTTGTGTGGAGTTGGTACACATACGTAATACCTCTCAGTTCCTATTTTCAGCCATTCTCTCCCCTACCTACATCCTTAATCCCCTCTTGAGAAAGAAGGATCTATATCCTGTTTTCTTTTAGTTTGTTCTTTATTGATATTGTGGGTTTCTAATATAAGAGAAACCTTCACTGTAGTTTCTTTTCTTTTCTTTTTTTTTTTTAGCGGAACCAGGGATTGAACTCAGGCCCTTGCCAGGCAAGCACTTATTCCACTGAGCCATCTCCCTGGCCCGACTGTGATTTCTTGACAAGTCTGTTTTTCTCACCAATTTGTAGCAATGATAACAATATTTTTGTGTATACTGTGCATAAAGCAATGTTCTTTGAACTTCATCTACATTAAGTTTTTAATTCTGAGAGATAGTTGTTGTTGCTATCTGGATACTAAAGATGCAGTAGCTGAGGCACCAAAACATTAAGCCATTTTCCCAAGGTCTCACAGCTATATGACTATCATGGGGTTTTTTGTTTTTGTTTTGTTTTGAACTAGGAATTGAACTCAGGACCTTGTACTTGCCAAGCAGGCACTGTGCCACTAAGCTACATCCCCAGCCATCATGGTCATTTTGACTTTGGGAAAGAGCCAGAAGTCCAGTGGCACTAGATCCAGTGGTTAAGATCGATGAGGCTATACCTTACTCTTTTTAAGGGCCTGCTTTACTGTTAGCTGGCAGTCAGCAGCAGCATTCACTTTATTTTTGATCACACATAGTAAACACCCTCCTGAAAAAAAAAAACAAAACTTTGAGAGCTGCCTCAGAATGTGGCAAGAATGATGGGATAAGTGTGTTCAGAGTGAGGGGAATTGCTTAGGCAGACACAGGGACCAGGTTTGATCCCCAGCATGCCATGCTGGCTCCACCCCCAGGGCGCACTGAGATGGGGACTGAGACTGGGTGAGGTAGCATATGCCTGTAATCCCAGTGCTTGGGAGGCTGAAAACAGGTGGATCACTACCAGTCCAATCTATGTAGTGAGACCCTGTAGACCCTGTACTAAATACATTAAAAAAAAAAAAAAAAAAGTGAGGGGGATTAATAGCAATATATCATTTACTGTAATGAATTAAAGCATTCACTAAATATTTTGCTCACCCTTTGTGTCCTGAACCCTCAAGAGTATTTTCTCAAGACAAGGGCATTATCTTACATAATCATAATTCAACTATCAGAATTAGAAAATTAACTGCCTGTTAATTTGTGTTGCATTACTACCATCAATCCTCAAACCACTGAGGTTTCACATAGTGTCCTAACATTCCTAACAAAGAATTTCAGGTCATGGGTTACAGTTAGTTTTCCTGTCTCAAGCATTTTTCTTTTCATCTGTTTGTAATGGATTATGTACTTAGATTTTTTCCTGCTCTTATGCCATTCTGACATTACCGTGATGTATAATTCTAACATACTGATACACTGTTAATGTTGATGGATTACTATTTTTAGTTCACATTATTGGTATGATTTTCATAAAACAAAGTGTATCTTTTTAAGTGTATGGTCTGGAGAGTTTTAAGACATATATGCCATGTAACTACCATGACTGAGATACAGAGCACCCCCATGCTCTAGAAAGTTTTTTCATGTCTCCTTGCGGTCAACTCCTCCCAGTCCTGGGTCTCCATAAGTTGGTCTTTCCTCAGATTTCATACAGAAGGAATTCTAGAGCATGGAGTCTTGTATGTGGAATCCTTTACTCAGGAGTGTTGTGGAGATTAACTCACCCACATTATGTGTGCTTGTGGACCTTAGTATCTTAGTTTTGATATCCATGGATCCAACCAACTGCAGACTGAAAATATTCCAAAAAGCCTTTTTACTTGTCCAGACTTTTCTTGTCATTATTCCTTAATACAGTGTAGCTACTATCTATATAGCATTCACACTGCATTAGGTATTGTAAGTAATCTAGAAATGATTTACAATAGAATCATATTTGTAGGTTTTAAGCAAATACTGTATGTTAAATAAGGGACTTCAGTATTGGAGAACTTTGGTATCCAAAGGAGGGCCTGGAACCATTTCCCCAAGAATATCGAGGAGTGGCTATGACTGCATTTACATCCTTTTTCCTTCTCCATTATATTTCACTATATGGATATGTCGCAACTTGCTTATCATTCACCTGTTGATGGACATGTGTTACTTCTAGTTTGAGGGTATACTGATAGATCTGTTGTGAACATCTGTATATGAGTCTTTGTATAGGTATATGCTTTTATTTCTCTTTGATAAACTTTTAGAGATAGGATTGCTTGTGTTCTGTTTTGTTTTGGCAATATTGGGTGTTGAATCCAGGACCTTTCCACTAAGCTACATTCTCAGTCCTTTTTTATTTTTCATTTTGACACAAAGTCTCTTGAGGTTCCTAAGTTGCCCCAGCCTTACACAGTGCTGGAACTGCAGGCATGCACAGCACATCCAACTTTTGCCTACCTTTAATTGAATTAAGATTGTTACTATTTTCTTGATACAAGCCTTTTGTCAAATATAGGTGTTTTAAATATTTTCTCTTAGTCTCTGGCTTACTTTCTTTGGTTTTCTTGCAGTGCCTTTCCAAAAGAAAAAAATACTAACTTTATATTAGAGTTCACTTTTTTCTTTAACTATATATTGCCTATTCTAGTGCCATAAAAAAAAAAAACCTCATATTTTTGATGTTTTTTGTTATTTGTGTGTATGTGTTATGGACCCTAGATTGAGAAGGTAGTTTTGGTTTCATGTGACATGCAGAAACGTGAGCCAGCCTAAAGCAGGATTTTAATAAGGTTGCAGGGACATTTTATGGCTCATAAAGGTAAAAATAGAGGCAGGTCTAAGAAAGAGAGGTAGGAAAGCTAGAAAGAAAGTCCTTTCCCATTGGATATGGTGGTGTGTGCCTACAATCCCAGCAGTCTGCAGGAGGATCACTGCAGGCTCTAGGCCAGCCTGAGTTACAGAGTGAGTTCAAGTGAAATGCATAGTAAAACCCTGTTTCAAACACACACAGAGAGAGAGAGAGAGAGAGAGAGAGAGAGAGAGAGAGAGAGAGAGAGAGAGAAAGTGCTTTCTCTAGTCTTTGTTTTTGCTATTTTTTCTTTGTAGTCTGCGTAACTTCAGTTATTGTTCAGAGCCTAGTACACCTTCCTAAGATAGGAAATCAGAATGGCCCAACCTGAGTATTAAGGTCCACACAGGTCCAATTAGCCAGTGGGGGTCAGTTACAAAGTATACGATACGCCTGGGGATCAGGGTCATGCTAAAGGAGTGAGGTGGCTTTGTGGTCGGTTTATATATCCCCCAAAGAGGTCACTGTTCTACCCTCCAGCCATCTACTCGTGGTGTACTTTTTGATACCATTGTCTGGCTTGTATTTTTTATATATTATTTTGTAAATTCTCTGAATTTTTTCCTCCAATCTGCAGCTATATTCTTCAGCACTCGTGGAATGTGAGGACCAAGATCCACTTAATAATGATAGAAATTTTGATGTGGAATCAGTAAAAAAAGAAATCCAAAGAGGAAGAAAGTTGGTAAGTAGAAATGATTTTATTTCTTTTAAAGGATGCCCATACTCAGTGGTCTAAAGCACCTACTTAGAACAAGCTTAGCAAAGCACAAGGACCATGGTTCAATCCTCCAGCACCACATGCCAGCCAGCCCCGCCCCCTGGTGGGCTGAGCTGGCCACACACACACACACACACACTAAATAAATGTAAA